CCATAAATTGGAGGTAGCCCTTTTGAGGTTGAGTCCACCGACTCAGAATTTTGGTAGTAGTGGTTTCGACGTCGATATGGTAAACATCACTGAAAGAGAAATTTCAAAATTGTTTTTTTTTTTCGAAAACCAAAATATGAGTGGCTTTTATTGTCCGATTTTCCCAATGATGAACCCTGTAATAATCGACGCTAATCGATTCAAATTTGAATATAGCTCCCATGTATATCTTCCATCGATTTCAAGTTTATTGTGGAGCAAATCCGAAATATCTAACTAAATAGAATAGACTTTGGCACATACGAGGTCGGATCAGTAAAACGATAGGTCGGTCTATGGTTAGCTATGCGGTTGTCTGTCTGTATCTATTAGTGTAAGGAAATGGAGAGTATTTATATCTGCCAAAATGCCGCCCTGAGAACTGCAAAAGCTGGCGTTCTCATGACTCCAGTGTGTCCTTTACATAAGGAGGCGAAGATTCCTGCCTTACGTCGGCATAACCATATTTTTTCGTTGTAGTATCCGCTTGTGACTTACTATGGGTATCATTCAAACAATTATAAGGTGAATAGAACTCCCTTACTCAGGTGTGTCAGGAAAAACCCGCATGATCAAGAGTGAGAGAGAGAGAGAGAGTTGTAACTATATGAGAGTGAACCTCTAAATTAAGAAGCCTTCCAGGCTGGTCCGCATAGCATTCATACTGATCCTGTCAAAACGAAACTGCATCTTTTAGAAAACTAAAAAAACTTGCCCATTCTTTACTTGACAACAAAACGAATACCAGTACTCGTTAAGTTCACAACACTATTCTCATTGACTCTGCCAACTGTTGAGTGATTCCTTTTTTTTTCATTTGTCTCAGGAGATGCTGTCTCCTTTTGATTGTTTTTTTGTTGTTTCTTTTGCAACTCAATCAAAACAAATACTCCAAACAATATGTGTCCATATTGTTAATGTATTTGTATTGGTTGCGTCTCTGTTTAATGATGGCTTAATATTTGTCTTATTATGAATGCTGCGTAGACAGACAGATATTAATGAGAGCAACGCCACGAGAGAGCCAGATACAATGGAATTGCTCTGATTTCTTTTGCCAAAAAAATAAGAAATAAGTACCTGTGTTTATTTTTGGTGCACATTTCAATGAAGGGAGGGTGATAAATTATAAGATCGAAGGGAATTGCAAGACAGAAAAGGGTAGAGTTGCCATGGGAGAGGGAATTTGATTTTACAAAGTTTGTGTTGGGGCAAAAAATGATTTTTTTTTTTATTTTTATATTTTTAATTATTTGAAAAAATGTAAAATTCATGTAAATAAATTACAATTGATTTCGCAAGCTATGGCAGATAAAAGTATTGGAAATTGTGACTTTTTGTGGTTGAGGTACCAGAAAGGGGTTGGCAGATATCTATCATCTTCACATCAGATCTTGTATTAGTAGAAATAAAGGGATGTGTGAAATTAGAAGAGAATCAGAAGCTTATTTCACGTTTTAAGACTTTCATGGCTATTTCAAATTCTGGCCCTTTGTGGGGGAGGTACCAGAAAGAGTGGAGCGTTATATCCCATTTTCACAGCAGATCTTTTGTTTGTAGAAATAATGCTATGTATGAAATATTAGGGGAACCGGATGCTTATTTCAGATTTAATAATTGGTTATTCAAATCTTTAAACCTTTGTGGGGGAGGAACCATAAGGAGTGGATCGATACTGTCCATTTTTGCACCAGATCTTGTGTTAATAGAAATATTGAGATGTACCGAGTTTGAATGAAATCGAAAGCTCATTTCGCGTTTTACAAACTTCATGGCTATTCAAAATTTTGACCTCTATATGGGAAAGGCAGCAGAAGGAGTGAACCGATGTCTACCATCATACATCTTCACAGCAGATCTTGTGTTAGTGGATATAATGGGAGGTGTGAAAGTTGAAGAGTACCGGATGCTTATTTCGGATTTTATTATCGTTTTGGTTATTCAAAATTTTAACCCTTTTTGGGGGAGTTACCAGAAGAAATGGTCCGATCTCTACCATCTTTATTACAGATCTTGTGTTGATGGAAATATTGAGATGTGTCAAGTCTGACTCGGAATTGCATGTTAAATTTGCGTTTTATAAGCTTCATGGATATTCAAAATTTTGACCCTTTGTGGGGGAGGTACCAGAAGGAGTGGACCGATGTATTCCTTCTTCACAGCAGATTTTGTATTTATAGAAATAATGGGATGTGTGAAATATGAAGAGAACCGGATACTTATTTCGGATTTTATGATAGTTTTGGTTATTCAAAACTTTGACCCTTTGTTCGGGAGGTACCAGAAGAAATGTTCCGATTTCTAACATCTTTATAACAGCTCTTGTGATGATAGAAATATTGAGATGTGTCAAATCTGAATCGGAATTGGATGTTAATTTCGCGTTTTATAAGCTTCATGGATATTCCAAATTTTGACCCCTTGTGAGGGAAATACCAGAAGGAGTGGACCGATATATTCCATCTTCGCACTAGACCTTGGGTTAATGAAAATATTCTGATGTGTGTAATTCGAAGACAATCGGACTATTAGATCACATTTTATATAAGTTATAATTATTCAAAATTTTGACCCTTTGTGGGGGAAGTACTTGATGGAGTGGACCGATATTGTCCATTTTCGCACCTGACCTAGCACTGATGCAAATATTGGGATTTGCAAAGTTTCAAGAAAATTGAATGATCCTTTCTTTTTCTATGAAGTAATTTATTTTCTTTGAAAATTTCGAACTTTTGTGGGGGAGGTACCAGAAGGAGTGGACCGATATATTCCATCTCCACACCAGACCTTGGGTTAATAAAAATATTGTGATGTGTGTAATTTGAAGACAATCGGGTTCTTACATCACATTTTATAAGAACCAGAATTATTCCAAATTTTGACCCTTTGTTGGGTAGGACTTAAAGGAGAGGACCGATATTGTCCATTTTCGCACCTGATCTAGCACTGATGCAAATATTGGGATTCGCAATGTTGGATCAAATTTGGATTATCGTTTTTGTTGAAAATTTTTACCTTTTGTGGGGGAGGTACCAGCAGGTGTGGACTTATATATTTAATATTCACACCAGACTTTGGGTTCATAAAAATACTGTGATGTGTGTAATTTGAAGACAATCGGGTTCTTACATCATATTTTTAAGAGCCTGAATTATTCCAAATTTTGTGGTGGTAGTGCTTGATGGAGTGGACCGATTTTGCCCATCTCCGAACACGATCTAAGTTTCACAATAATATTACGATGTACCAAATTTGAATCAAGTCGGATACTTCCTTCGAGGGTAATCGTCCCCAGCTGGACAGACAGATGGACGGTCACCCCTAGATCGACTCCACATGTCCTGACACGGATTTCGACCAAAGAGACCTAGGTTCTACAATCGTAATTTCAATTAGGCACGTTTTGGCCGTATATATATGATATATAACCTTTTTAGCCATATGGCTGAGGGTATAAAAACCGACCATATATATTTTTGATCCCAAATTTGTCTTGAAATGGCAACTCTGTTAAGGATTTATGGTCTTTGGGCCCTTTTATCAGCCAAACAAAGATCAATATATAAAGAAATCAATGTAAATGGCCATTGATTCTTAGGGCAAGACGAAGCGAAAGCAGCATTATCATCGGATGCAACGAATGATGCTGCAGCACTCAAACTGAGGCAGTGCGTAAACCAGACCATGGTCGGCCATTGCAGTGCTGCAGTGGCGATTGAATGCTGGCCATTAATCGGCTATGTACGTACACTGATTACAATGCTGTCCTGCTGCAGTAGTTGTGGCATGAAATGCGTTCGTTATCTGTGTTTTTGAGATTTTCGATATTTTTTTTTTTGCTTTTCGGCCAACCCAGTGGCTAAAGACGTTGACGTCGTATTCAGCCGCCAAGTAGTGTTTCTGAATTTCAAAAAAATAATACTTTTTTCACTTTTTTTGCGTGTGATTCCATATGGCCGTATTTGTCTCATTGCGAGTTACTTTTTTACGCTATTCTCAATTGTTTTCAATTTAAATTCTGCTTAAGAAAAAAAAAATTGAAATAAAATCGTGTATGACCAGCCAGTCAGCCAGCAAAGCAACCAATCCAACCAACCAACCATTGCCGTTGTCTGTTTTGTTGTCGTCGTCGTCGTTGAGTCGCTGTTGTCCATCCACACTCACTCACGTCGTATCCGTCAGACAATGTCCACAGCCAGAAGTCGTAGTCGTCGTTGTAGTCGTCAAATTGGTGTTGTGGTGTCTCGCGTAGTAGGTCTTAAATAATGTTCTCAGAATGAAAACGCAATTATTCGCTCCCGAGCCGTTGTCTCCGAAAGTGGTTTCAATAAAAATCCCTCCCAAAAATTGAAGAAAAAAAATTACACAAAAAATTCAAACCCGAAATATCTACATAAAATTGAATTAATATCCAAAAATAAATACAATAAAAATTCTGAAAAGAAGAAGAATTAAAAAAAAAAAAATAAATAAAATTTGAAAAAAATCCATTCATACTCAAAACAATTAACCCAAAAATTATCTTTAAAACAAATAAACAAAAAAAAAAATAAAGATAATTTACCTGAAATTTTGCTAAACAAAAAAATCGAAGAAAAAAAAAAACGGAAAAAAATAAAAAATCAACAAGAAAACAATTAAAAAAATAAAAATAAATAAATAATAAAAAATAATTAAGTGACAGAAAATATTGATGTGCCAAAATAATATTAATTCTCAGAATTTAAGTGGTATTTGAAAAAAAAAACTGTGAAAATTTTGTGCCAAAATAATAATAATTCTCAGAATTTAAGTGAGATTTGGAAAAAAGAACAAACTGCGAAAATTTTAAAGATATTTTTAAGAGAAAATAATAAAATATCACAATAAATATTTTAAAAATAAAAAAAGAATAATAAATATAAAACAAATACAAATTATTTTTATAGGTTGGTGTGTGTTTGAAAATTAAATAAAACAAATTAAAAATTATAAGAAAAAATTTCAACTCAAAAATTAAAACCCCAGAAAAAAACGTAAAAAATTATTTTAAGAAGACAAAAAAAAATCAAAGATACTCTTCAACAATTTTCAGAACTACAAAATATTTGAGGTAAATTGAATAAAATTTAATTATAGTATTTTTATATTTTTATTATTTTTATGGAAAGCCTGAAAAAGTTATTAGAGTAAGAATTGCAATATTTTATTTTTAGTTTTTTTTTTTTTAATAAAGAGCTAAATTTTAGGAACTTAAAGTTTTTTCGAAAAAAATGGGAAGAATTTTACAAGGGTCTTTAATGATGCTGTGGGTTGGAAAACTACGTTTAAAATGATTTTTTTTTAAATAAAAAATTAAGTCTATTTTTGATTTTTTTAATATTTTTCGAAAAAAAAAAATGGAAGAAATGTACAAAGGGCTTTAATGATGCTGTGGGTTGGAAAAAGGTTAAGAGGATTTATTAATAAAAAAAACGAACTGTATTTCTGATTTTTAAAATATATAATTAAAGGGTTTTAGTTTTTTTTTTAATATTTTTAGGGGGGCTCTGCTGATAAAAACTCAAAAAATGGAATTTTTCAAAAAAAAAAAAAAAAAAAAAGAGAGAAAATTGCACAAAGGGGTTTAACGGTACTGTTTGGTTTGGAAAAGGTTAATTTTTAACTAAAAATGAACTCTATTTTTGATTTTTTAATTATATTTTTTAAAGGGGTTTAGTATTTTTTTTAATATTTTTGAAAAAAGGTTCTGGTGATAAAAACTTAAAAAACTTAGTTTTTTTCCAAAAAAAAAAGGAAGAACTCTACGAAGGGCTTTAATGGTGCTGTGGGGTTGGAAAAAACGTTTAAAAGGTTTTTTTTTTAATAAAAAAAAAACTGACTCTATTTTTGATTTTTTAAAGGGTTTTAGATTTTTTTTTTTTTAATTTTTTTCGAAAGTGATATAAACTTGAATTCTTTAAAAAAAATTGAAAGGTGTAATTGCGAAATACTTCTAAAAAAAATATTTAGAAAAGTATTTTGATATTTAAACAAGTAAAAAAGCCGTGCTTTTTAATACCCTATACCATCCGGAAGCAAAAAAAATCGAAAACTACTACTTAAATTAAATCCGGTAAATAATGTCGCTATACAAAGGCGTGGACCTGTATACAAAAATGTTTGTCATAGGTTGTAGTACCCATTAAGGTCTTCCAATACGAAATTTGAAATAATTCTGGTAAGTAATGTTGCTAAAATCATGAAAATACCGAATATAGGCAGGTACCGCTATACGAAGGCCTTGACCTGCTTACGAATTTTTTTGCCATAGGTTGTAGTACCCATTAAGATCTTCCAATACGAAGTTGAAAAGATGAAATCATGAAAATACCGAATATCAGGAGGTACCTTTATATGGGCCTATACGAAAGCGTGGACCGACATGGCCCAATTACGAACTTAACCTACCTACTGGTAAACTATGCATGTATGCAAAATTTTAGCCTTTTATCTCAATTCCTTCGAAAGATAGAGTGATTACAGCAGACAGACGGACATCGCTAGATAGTCTTAGAATACGCTCATCCAGAATATGTATACTTTGTAGGGTCTATCTTGAATATTTATCTTATGAATATTTCAAGATCTGTTATAAAGATGGTAGATATTCGAGCTTTCCCTGCGGGTACCTCCCCCATAAAGGGTCAAAGTTTTGAATAACCAAAACGATCATAAAATTCGAAATAAGCATCTGGTTCTCTTCAAAATACATGATTCACAATATTTTTATTAACCTGGTGTGAAGATAGGATATATCGGACCACGCCTTCTAGAAACCACCCCCCCCCAAAATTGGGTCAACATATTGAATATCCGTGAAGCTTATAAAACGCGAAATTACCATCAGATTCTATTCGGACTTGGCACATCTCAAAATATCTATCAACACAAGATCTGTTATAAACATGGTAGAGATCGGAGTATTTCTTCTAGTACCTCCTCTACATAGGGTTCATGATTTTGAAAAACAAAACACTTAAATAAAGCGAAATAGGCATCCAACTCTTTTCAAATTTCGCACATCTAAATATTTTTGCTAACGCAAGATCTGTTATGAAGATGATTTATATTTGCCAACCCATTCTGCTACCTCATCCACAATTGGTCACAATTTCTAATGTTTACATTTGTCATAACTTGCAAATTAAGTCGGCGATTTTTTACGACTTGCTATATCTAAATATTTCACTTAACCAAAAACCTAAGATGAATATGGAATTTATGATTTCGCATAAAATTGGGTATAAATGTTCGATTTCCTTCAAATTTTGCACATACTAATTTTTTTTGTCTGGATTAAATAAAGTATGAAAATGGAATAATTCGATCCGCTATATTTTCACATTTTCCAAAAATTTACACATATCTCATATAAAATGGAGGCACGTTGTAATATTTATATCAGTCATAGGTTAGATACGATTCGGTCAATATTGGCCAACTGCTTCCGAACCTGCCCATAAAGAGTCAACAGTTTGAATAATCATAAGTCAAGACTGGGGTATACATATGCCGTCAAAACCGACCGATACTATTTTATTTGTTTAATGTTTTTTAAATAAATTTTTAGTTTTTTTAGTTTCAGTAGCGAATTTTTGCAAAGTATGTTTCGAATTTTTAATATAATTTGAAAGATAATTTTGAATATTAAATTTTTTCTTAGAATTTTTTTTTTCAATTTTCTTAACTTTCTAACGAATTTCAATTATAATAACTAAGTTTTTTTTTCAAAATTTTTAAATAATTTACGAATTTATAATATGGATTTTTTAGACATTTTCAGACAAGAGATTGTAAATTTTTTATTATATATTTTGAAGTATCAAGATTATCATTGCCATTATTTCAATTATAACTAATAATAATAATATTATTATTATAATTTAAATTATTTCTTATTGCTGATCTGTTAAATAAAATATTAAAAGTTTGGTTTTTTTTAAACAACACCCTCCCATCTCCTATCTTACAAAGGTTCTGTACGCATGCAAGTAATTCTCAAATCTAAGAATCCTTCACACCATGTAAACAATGGAAAGGTATTGCGATGTTGACAGGGCGAAAGAATAATAAACAAATCCCGACATAATTCAAAGAAATAAATTGCGCAGTTTTACAGATTCCCTGGCAATCCAAGAGATTGATTTCTTTCCACAGGTCATGGCCAGTCTGGGGTGTTTGTTTTCTTAGCAACACATGCATAAAAAAAAAAAGTTAACTGATATTGGAAAATGGTATTGCTCCATGAATAAACAATCTATTGTAAATACACTTTAAGATTAACAGGGCTATGAATTTGAATATACAGGGATATTTTAAGGGATAAAAATGTCAATTTTTTGAAATAATTTTGGCAGATCAACCAAGATATAATTATGGATTTTTTTTTAACATTGTTAATGACTCACGGAGATATTACCATGGTTCTTGTTTTGAAATATTTTTAAAGGGGTTTTAAATATATAAATATATATATATATATATATATAAATATATATTTTTTTTAAGTGAACTGTTGGAGACCAAATCGTTGTTTTTTGGCTGGTGCCGTTTTTATTTTTATTATTATTATTATTATTATTTTTTTTTTTTTTGAAAGGGCCTTCCATGATGTAATCGTAGTTTTCTTTTAAATAATATTTGAAAGTTTGTTGGTTTTTAAAGTTTTAAATTTTATTTTTTACAAAGAGATTTTGGAGTTAGTCGTGGATTTCTTTTAAATATTCTGCATGCGCTTTTAATAATTTAAAACTATTTTTCATAGTGTATGATTTTCGTGAAACATTTTTATAGAACTTTTAAAATAAAGAAAAAAATTTTAACAGGTTTTTATTAAAATTTTATTTATTTCAAAAAAAAAAATCACTTAGATTATACTAGTCATAATATATATTTTTGTCTATTGACATTTTTTTTTTAATTTTTTCAAACTTTTTTTTGAAAACTTTTTAAAAATAATTTTTTGAGGTGAAATATTTAATTTTTTATGGGGATCTTTAGACCCATATATGTGCTGTTTTTTTTAAAAAAACTGTGTAGATAACCTTCTGAATTAAACTTTTTAGAATTTTTGAGAGCTTTTTAAAGGTATTTTTTTTTGGGATTAAACAATATATTTTAAAGGACATATCCAGTTTTTAAAGCATGGTTTTGATGATCGTAGATCTTTTTCAATTCTTTTAAGGGTCACCTGGGTCTTTGTTTCGCTTGGGCTATTGAGAATGTTCTAGAGGAATTTCAGAACTAAAACGTTGGTTTTAAAAGAAATTTTCCAGGGATCCTTTAAGTCATTGGTTTCAACAATTCCATCGGATTTCTTTTTTTTAATGATTTGAGTATCTTCGGCACTACAAACCCGGACCTTTTTTAATTTTTGTAAGTTTTTTTCTGAATTACAAACGTGCATTTGTTTAAAGGTTGTGACAAAATACAACCTTCCAAGATAAAAAAGTGTGTCTTTAATTTTTTTTTAAATTCCGAGATACATATTTTTTTTACCAAATTTTTTGAGATCCTTCAAAAACATTTTTTTGCTGAAGATTTTCAGATTTTTTTTAATAACTTTGTCGAGTTTTGGAACCATGTTTATTCTATAGATGTATTCTGAAAATATTCAACGATGCAATGATTCTATTCAAAGGGTCTTGTGAGTTATAGACGTGAGGATTTTAACGGAATTTGTTTAATAGGATCTTGTAAACTTCTAACTTGGATTTGCATTAAAAATTTGTTAAAAGTGGGATTTTTATGGTCTTTTGGGGTAAATTCAGCACTATAATTTGCAGCGTTTTAAAGTTTTCTTCTCGCGTTTAAAACGTGGTCAATTAAATATTTGTTCATATAATCTTTAGAGCCATTAGTGTATATTTTTGAAAACTTGCGGAAATTATGGTCAGAAATTAGTTCTTTAATGATTTTTTCAAATGAATTCGTTAACATATATTTTCAGAGGATCTTCGTTTTCACAAGATTTCAGGACTGTTGTAAACATTGGATTTTTTTTTTAAATTTTAAGAATTTTATTGTTGTTTTTAGAACTTTTAGGATCTTCAGAAACAAAAACGTGGATAA